GATAGATAGATAGATAGATAGACAAATAGATAGATAGACAAATAGATAGATAGACAAATAGATGATAGATAGATAGATAGATAGATAGATAGATAGACAGACAGACAGACAGACGATAGATAGATAGATAGATAGATAGATAGACAGACAAATAGATAGATAGATAGATAGATAGATAGATAGATAGACAAATAGATAGACAGATAGACAAATAGATAGACAGACAGACAGACAGACAGACAGATAGATAGACAAATAGATAGATAGACAAATAGATAGATAGATAGATAGATAGATAGATAGATAGATAGACAGACAGACTAGATAGATAATATAGATAGGTAATACATAGATAGATAGACAAATAGATGATAGATAGATAGATAGATAGATAGATAGATAGATAGATAGATAGACAAATAGATAGATAGATAGATAGATAGATAGATAGATAGATAGATAGACAGACAAATAGATAGATAGATAGATAGATAGATAGATAGATAGACAAATAGATAGACAGATAGACAAATAGATAGATAGACAGACAGACAGACAGACAGACAGATAGATAGACAAATAGATAGATAGACAAATAGATAGATAGATAGATAGATAGATAGATAGATAGATAGATAGATAGATAGATAGATAGATAGATAGATAGATAGATAGAATAGATAGATAGGATGGAAGCCAGGAAAATAGATGATAGATAGATAGATAGATAGATAGATAGACAGATAGATAGACAAACAGATAGATAGATAGATAGATAGATAGATAGATGGATGGATGGATGGATGGATGGATGGATAGATAGATAGATAGATAGATAGATAGATCAGAAATGCTGGATCACTCTCACAACCATCATGCCAGACTACAAAGAGAAGCCATTGCAATCCACAAGCATGTGGACAATTTCAACACAAAGGAGGAAACCATGAAATTGAACAAAATCTGGCTAACAGTATTAAAAAACTCTAAAATTACAACAGCAAAACAACAGAGAGTAAACAAACAAGGACATCTAACCACCTCTCAACAAAAGATTGCTCCAGGCACTGCCAGGCCATCAAATGCTAATCAAGGTGGTCAGTTGAAACATTCACACCTAGCTCCAATAGACAAGAGTCCTTTGTCCCACCCTGGTCATGCCACAGATATATAAACCCTTTTTCCTAGTTCCAACAGACCTCACTACCTCTGAGGATGTTTGCCATAGATGCAGGTGAAACGTCAGGAGAGAATGCCTCTAGACCATGGCCATATAGCCCGGAAAAACCTACAACAACCCGATAGATCGATATAAATAAAAATGAAATGTTTGTTTGTGGGATTAACATAACTCAAAGACCACTGGATGAATTGCCACCAAATTTGGCCACAAGACACCTACTAACCCAAGGAATGATCATCCCTCAAAAAATTGGTTTTCTCATTTGGGAGTTGTAGTTGCTGGGATTTATAGTTAACCTACAATCAAAGAGCATTCTGAACTCCACCAATGATGGAATTGAACCGAACATGGCACACAGGACTCACATGACCAACATTAAACACTAGATGGGTTTGGGGAGCATTGACCTTGAGTTTGGGAGTTATAGTTCACCTACATCCAGAGAGCACTGTGGACTCAAATTATTATGGACCTGGACCAAACTTGGCACAAATACTCAATATGCCCAAATGTGAACACTGGTGGAGTTTGGGGAAAATAGACCTTGACATTTGGGAGTTGTAGTTACTGGGATTTATAGTTCACCTACAGTCAAAGAGCATTCCGAACCCCACAGAACTGGGGCAAGATTCCCACACAGAACCCTCATGGCCAATAGAAAATACTTAAGGCCATCCAGTCCAACTTCCTTCACCAGGGCAAGAAAACGTAATCAAAGCCCATAAAAAGTCAACAAAATAAAGAAAAACATTACAACGCATGCACAAAACACACATATATACATGTATACACACACATATATACACACAAAACACATATACACAGACTGGACCACAGCAACGTGTGGCAGGGGATGGCTAATTCTATATATATATGTAATGTTCGCTTATGGGATTAATAGTACACCTACAATCAAAAAATATTGTAAACTCTACCAATGATGGAATTGAACCAAACGTGGCACACAGTACTCCCATGACCAACAGAAAATACTGGAAAAGTTTGGTGAGCATTGACCTTGAGTTTGGGAGTTGTAGTTCACCCACATCCAGAGAGCACTGTGGATTCAAATGATGAAGGATCTGGACCAAACTTGGCACAAATACTCAATATGCCCAAATGTGGAGAAATAGACTTTGACATTTGGGAGTTGTAGTTACTGGGATTTATAGTTCACCTACAATCAATATATGTAATGTTCGTTTATGGGATTAATAGTACACCTACAATCAAAGAACATTCTGAACTCTACCAATGATGGAATTGAATCAAACATGGCACACAGGACTCCCATGACCAACAGAAAATACTAGAAGGGTTTGGTGGGCATTGACCTTGAGTTTGGGAGTTGTAGTTCACCTGCATCCAGAGAGTACTGTGGACGCAAACAATGATGGACCTGGACCAAACTTGACACGAATATTCCAACTAGGAACACAGACAGAGTTTGGTGAAATAGACTTTGACATGTGGGAGTTGTAGTTACTGGGATTTATAGTTCACCTACAATCAAAGAGCATGCTGAACCCCACCAAAGACAGAATTGGGCCAAAAATTCCCACACAGAACCCTCATGACCAACAGAAAATACTTAAGGCCATCCAGTCCAACTCCCTTCACCGGGGCAAGAAAACATAATCAACGCCCTCCCAACAAAGACCCATCCAACCATAGATATAACTAGATAAATATGATTCACACAGAGAGAGATATAGTATCCTAGATTTGAAAGGGACCCCTAAAGAAGGACTATGATATGTTGCATGTCCCAGAGTAGGCAAACCAGACACTCTCCACATCAACACTGGGAAAGAAAGAACAAGAAATACTGTTTGCCCACAAGCAGAAAGACATTACATATATTAGAAACCAACACTGTGGGTGAGCAGTTGGTGGCTACTGGATGGCGTATGTTCTGTTGGGGGTCCAAAATATCCGGAAGGCCTAAGTTTGCCCATGCCCGCCTTTGACTTTTAATGTACGTAAACAATAACAACACCCAAATGTTGCTTTTCCTGCCACATTGTGTCTTTCAGCCTCTACCCCACCCTGCTACAAAACATGTATCGTCGAATGCTTTCATTGCTGGAATCGCTGTGTTGTTGTAAGTTTTCCAGGCTCTCTGGCCATGTTCCAGAAGCATTCTCTCCTGACGTTTCGCCTGCATCTATGGCAGGCATCCTCAGAGGTTTGTTGTAAGTTTTTCGAAATGTATGGCCATGTTCCAGACGCATTCTTTCCTGACGTTTCGCCTGCATCTATGGCAGGCATCCTCAGAGGGTTGTTGGAAAATTCTCCTCCCATCTCAGGTGTGAGTTACAACATCAAGGTCACAACAACATCTCTCATAGAACTCCAGTATGCCGATGATAATGCAGTGTGTGCACACACACATTTTGAAACTCCAGCAAACCCCAGCTCTGTGATTGCGCCAAAATTCTGACTTGGAATAGCTGAAGTTTCTGGGATTCCGGTTCAAAAAGAAACGCATCTCTGTGTATTTTGGCTGTCTGGACATGTTTCAGAAGCATTCACTCCTGACATTTCACCTGCATCTATGGCAGGCATCCTCAAAGGGATGTTGTGAATTTTCCGGGCTGTAAGGCCATGTTCCAGAAGCATTCTCTCCTGTTTCGCCTGCATCTATGGAGGGTTGTTGTAAATTTTTCGGTCTGTATGTCCATGTTCCAGAAGCATTCTCTCCTGACGTTTTGCTTGCATCTATGGCAGGCATCCTCGGAAGTTGCTGAAAATATTTTCGAGCTGTCCATGTTCCAGAAGCATTCTTTCCTAATATTTCGCCTGCATCTATGCCAGGCATCCTCCAAGGGTTGTTGTGAATTTTCCAAGCTGTATGGCTATGATCGGAAGCATTCTCTCCTGATGTTTCGCCTGCTTCTATGGCAGGCATCCTCAGAGGGTTGTTGTAAGTTTTTCGAGCTGTATGGCTATGTTCGGAAGCATTCTTTCCTGACATTTTGCCTGCATCTATGGCAGGCATCCTTAGAGGGTTGTTGTAAATTTTCCGGGATGTATGGCCATGTTCCTGAAGCATTCTCTCCTGACATTTCGCCTGCATCTACGGCAGGCATCCTCAGACGGTTTTGGAAAATTTTCCAGCTGTATGGCCACGTTCCAGAAGCATTCTCTCCTGACATTTCGCCTGCATCTATGGCAGGCATCTTCAGAGGGTTGTTGTAAATTTTCCAAGCTGTATAGCCATGTTCCAGAAGCATTCTGTCCTAATGTTTTGCCTGCATCTATGGCAGGCATCCTCAGACGGTTTTGGAAATTTTTCCAGCTGTATGGCCACGTTCCAGAAGCATTCTCTCCTGACGTTTCGCCTGCATCTATGGCAGGCATCCTCAGACGGTTTTGGAAATTAGATGCAGGTGAAATGTCAGGAGAGAATGCTTCTGGAACATGGCCATACAGCCTGGAAAACTTACAACAGCCCAAAGCATGTCCATTCAGCATGTTTACTGCAGGATTGTGGCCAAGTCAAAAAAAAACTTTGGCCAAAGTAAACAAAGAGTGACCTTTGGCCGTAGCTAGTGGGGAGGATGGATGTTTGAGGTCAAGGTCAGCATTGGCAAAACACCGAAGGGGGGAGACCGGTTTGGGGCCAAAGGTCTTGCACACCTATGGATGGGTGTGTCAAGAGATTGTGTGGCCAAACGGCAAAGGTTGAGGAGCCACAAGGAATCTCAGCCACGCCGTTGTCGGGTTTGTGCGTTCGGCTAATTCCAGGCGACACCTTCGGGATTAGGGTTCCTGCGGCCCGTGTGACACCGGCAACACCGCATGTTCTCCCTACCTTGAAGCTGCTTGAACCTGCCCTCCAAGACGTTGGCGTACTGCACGGCGTTGACGAAGGCCGCCGGGGAGAGCTCAGGGGGTGGCGTGGGGCCCTGGACCACCTCCATCAGCTCCGGTGGCAGCTCAGATTGGTACATCCTTGAAGCGGAGCCCCTTGCCGTGCCCACCCAACCGACCGACCGACCACACCTGGGCCCAGGTAGCAGGAAGGAAGCCCTGCTCCTCCTCCTCCTCCTCCTGCAGTTACGGCACCGTGGAGCACAAGAGCCGTGGAGCCTTTCGAGGGGAGAGAGGCGGGCAGGGCGGGCAGGGCAAGCCCTGCGGAATTAACATAAAAACAGGTTGGGTTGCTCTGTGTGTGTATCTGTGTGTGTGTGTGTGTGTGTGTGTGTGTGTACTGAGCCCAGACGGAAAAGAGAGGAGAAGAGGGCAGGGCAGCCGGCCCACATGCATGCACACAGACAGACAGGCAGGCAGGCAAACAGGCGCACACACATTTTGAAACCCCAGCAAATCCCAGCTCTGGGATTGAGCCAAAGTTCTGACTTGGAATAGCTAAAGTTTCTGGGATTCCAGTTCGAAAAGAAAGGAACCCCTCTGGGTTTTGGGGTCCCTGTTGACCCAGGGAGTCTGTTTCCTCTCATCTCAGGTGTGGGTTACAAAACCAAAGTTAAAACAATATCGGTTATAGAATGCCAATATGCCGATGATAACGTAGTCTATGCACGCACACATTTTGAAACCCCAGTCCTGGGATTGAGCTGAAGTTCTGACTTGGAATAGCTGGAGCTTCTGGGATTCCAGTTCAAAGACAAAGGCATCTCTGCGTGTTTTGGGGTCCCTATTGACCCAGGGTGTCTGTTTCCTCTCATCTCAGGTGTGATAGAACTCCAATATGCCAATGATAACATAGTCTGTGCACACACACATTTTGAAAGCCCAGTCCTGGGATTGAGCCAAAGTTCTGACTTGAAATAGCTAAACCTTCTGGGATTCTAGTTCAAAAAGGAAGGAGTCTCCATGTGTTTTAGGGTTCCTATTGACCCAGGGGGTTTGTTTCCTCTCATCTCAGGTGTGACAGAACTCCAATATGCTGATGATAGCATAGTCTGTGCACACACACATATTGAAACCCTAGCCCTGACTTGGAATAGCCGAAGCTTCTGGGATTCCAGTTCAAAAAGGAAGGAGTCTCTGTGTATTTTGGGGTCCCTATTGATCCAGGGAGTCTGTTTCCTCTCCTCTCAGGTGTTGGTTACAAGACTAAGGTCACAACAACATCTCTTATAGAACTCCAATATGCTGATGATAATGTAGTCTATGCACACACACATTTTGAAACCCCAGTCCTGGGATTGAGCCAAAATTCTGACTTGGAATAGCTAAAGCTTCTGGGATTCCAGTTCAAAAAGGAAGGAGTCTCTGCCTATTGACCCAGGGTGTCTGTTTCCTCTCATCTCAGGTGTGATAGAACTCCAATATGCTGATGATAGCATAGTCTGTGCACACACACATTTTGAAAGCCCAGCCCTGGGATTGAGCCAAAGCTCTGGGTTGGAATAGCTGAAACTTCTGGGATCCTGGTTCGAAAAGAAAGGTGTCTGTGCATTTTGGGGTGGGGTCCCTATTCATCCTGGGACTCATACTCCTCCCATCTCAGGTGTGAGTTACAAAACCAGGTCACAACAACATCTGTTATAGAACTCCAATACACCAATGACAGCATAGTCAATGCCCAGCCCTGGGATTGAGCCAAAGATCTGGCTTGGAAAAGCTGAAGCTTTCAGGATTCCGACTCAAAAAGGAAGGCATCTCTGTGCATTTTGGGGTCCCTGTTGACCCAGGGAGTCTGTTTCCTCTCATCTCAGGTGTGGGTTACAAAACCACAGTCACAACATCTGTTATAGAACTCCAATATGCCGATGATAGCATAGTCTATGCACACACACATTTTGAAAACCCGGCCATGGGATTGAGCGAAAGCCCTGGCTTGGAATAGCTGAAGCTTCTGGGATTCCAGTTCAAAAACTAAAGCGTCTCTGTGTGTTTTAGGGTCCCTATTGACCCAGGGTGTCTGTTTCCTCTCATCTCAGGTGTGATAGAACTCCAATATGCTGATGATAGTATAGTCTGTGCACACACACATTTTGAAAACCCAGCCCTGGGATTGAGCCAAAGCTCTGGCTTGGAATAACTGAAGCTTTCGGGATTCCGATTCAAAAAGAAAAGCGTATCTGGGTATTTTGACCCAGGGAGTCTTTGTCCTCTCATCTCAGGTGTGGGTTACAAAACCAAGGTCACAACAACATCTCTTATAGAACTCCAATATGCCAATGATAACGTAGTCTGTGCACACACACATTTTGAAACCCCAGCCCTTGGATTGAGCCAAAGCTCTGTACTGGAATAGCTAAAGTTTCTGGGATTCCAGTTCAAAAAGGAAGGAGTCTCTCTGTGTTTTAGGGTTCCTATTGACCCAGGGTGTCTGTTTCCCCTCATCTCAGGTGTGATAGAAGTCCAATATGCCGATGATAGCATAGTCTGTGCACACACACTTTTTGAAAGCCCAGCCCTGGGATTGAGCCAAAGCTCTGGCTTGGAATAGCTGAAGCTTCTGGGATCCTGGTTCGAAAAGAAAGGTGTCTCTGTGCATTTTGGGGTGGGGTCCCTATTCATCCAGGGACTCTTTCTCCTCCCATCTCAGGTGTGAGTTACAACATCAAGATCACAACAACATCTCTCATAGAACTCCAATATGCCGATGATAACACAGTGTGTGCACATACACACATTTTGAAACCCCAGCCCTGGGATTGAGCCAAAGCTCTGACTTGAAATAGCTAAAGCTTCTGGGATTCTGGTTCGAAAAGGAAGGATTCTCTGTGTGTTTTAGGGTTCCTATTGACCCAGGGAGTCTGTTTCCTCTCATCTCAGGTGTGATAGAACTCCAATATGCCAATGATAGCATAGTCTGTGCACACACACATTTTGAAACCCCAGCCCTTGGATTGAGCCAAAGTTCTGACTTGGAATAGCTAAAGCTTCTGGGATTCCAGTTCAAAAAGGAAGGAGTCCCTGTGTGTTTTGGGGTGTCCCTATTGACCCAGGGAGTCTTTGTCCTCTCATCTCAGGTTACAAACCAAGGTCACAACAACATCTGTTATAGAACGCCAATATGCCGATGATAATGTAGTCTATGCACACACATACATTTTGAAACCCCAGCCCTGGGATTGAACCAAAGTTCTGGCTTGGAATAGCCGAAGCTTCTGGGATTCCAGTTCAAAAAGAAAGGAGTCCCTGTGTGTTTTGGTGTGTCCCTATTGACCCAGGGAGTCTTTGTCCTCTCATCTCAGGTGTGATAGAACTCCAATATGCTGATGATAGCACAGTCTGTGCACACACACATTTTGAAACCCCAGCCCTGGGATTGAGCCAAAGCTCTGGCTTGGAATAGCTGAAGGTTCTGGGATTCCACTTCAAAAAGAAAGGAGCCTCTGTGTGTTTTGGGGTCCCTATTGACCCAGGGAGTCTTTGTCCTCTCATCTCAGGTTACAAACCAAGGTCACAACAAGATCTGTTATAGAATGCCAATATGCCAATGATAATGTAGTCTATGCACACACACACATTTTGAAACTCCAGCCCTGGGATTGAGCCAAAACTCTGGCTTGGAATAGCTGAAGCTTCTGGGATTCCAGTTCAAAAAGAAAGGAGTCCCTGTGTGTTTTGGGGTCCTAACTGTGAGAGCTGTTCAACAGTGGAACTCTCTGCCTCGGAGTGTGGTGGAGGCTGGATGGCCATCTGTCGGGGGTGCGATTTTCCTGCTTCTTGGCAGAATGGGGTTGGACTGGATGGCCCTTGAGGTCTCTTCCAACTCTAGGATTCTATGATTACTATTTGGCCTCCTCCTGACCTCGCTATATTTCAGAGAGCCAAAGTCAAGGTAGCGTGAGGCTCTCAGATTTGGTTCTCCTTCTTCTCCCTGGCTGCAAAATGGGAGTTATAGTTTAGTGACCAAAAGCTATGCCCAGGCCTCACCCATAAATACATGGAGGATGAACAAGCAGGGAGTGCCTTTCTTGGAGGTGCTTCTGGGGTCTGGATTGCGGCCAGACCTGAGCAGCAGCATTCCCAGTTTTGGGAAATCAACTGGGATGAAAGCATGGCTTGAGGATGAAGCCAAGACTCTGGGAAACCCGGGTTCAAATCCCTGCTCAGCCAAAGACTTGGGCATATCACACCCTCTCAGCCTTGGAGAGGGAGAACGGGGCAAGCCTCCTCTGGACAAATCTCACCAAGAAAGACTTCAACTCCAGAATTAGGACCCCCCAGTGGCGCAATGGGTTCAACCAGTGACATTTGGGAGTTGTAGTTGCTGGGATTTATAGTTCACCTACAATCAAAGAGCATTCTAAACTCCACCAACGATGGAACTGAACCAAACTTGGAATGCAGAACTCCCATGATCAACCAAAAAAAAAAATACTGGAAGGGTTCAGTGGGCATTGACCTTGAGTTTGGGAGTTGTAGTTCACCTACATCCAGAGACTCAAACAATGATGGATCTGGACCAAACTTGGCACAGATACTCAAAATGCCCAAATGTGAACACTGGTGGAGTTTGGGGGAAATAGACATGGCATTTGGGAGTTGTAATTGCTGGGATTTATAGTTCACCTACAATCAAAGAGCATTCTGAACTCCACCAATGATGGAATTGAACCAAACTTGGAATACAGAACTCCCATGACCAACAAAAAAAATACTGGAAGGGTTTGGTGGGCATTGACATTGAGTTTGGGAGTTGTAGTTCACCTACATGCAGAGAGCACTGTGGACTCAAACAATGATGGATCTGGACCAAACTTGGCATGAATATGCAATGTGCCCAAATATAACCACCAGTGGAGTTTGGGGAAAATAGACCTTGACATTTGGGAGTTGTACTTGCTGGGATTTATAGTTCACCTACAATCAAAGTGCAATCTGAACCCCACCAATGATGGGATTGAACCAAACTTGGCACACAGAACTCCCATCACCAACAGGAAATACTGGAAGGGTTTGGTGGGCATTGACATTGAGTTTGGGAGTTGTAGTCCACCTACATCCAGAGAGCACTGTGGACTCAAACAATGATGGATCTGGGCCAAACTTGGCATGAATACTCAATAGACCCAAATGTGAACACTGGTGGAGTTTGGAGAAAATAGACATGGCATTTGGGAGTTGTAGTTGCTGGGATTTATAGTTCACCTACGACCAAAGAACATTCTGACCTCTCATCTCAAGTGTGGGTTACAAAACCAAGGTCACAACAACATCTCTTATAAATGCCAATATGCTGATGACAACGTAGTCTATGCACACATACAATAGATGTGGGCCAAACTTCCCACACAGAACCCCCATGACCAATAGAAAATACTGTGTTTTCTGATGGTCTTTGACAACGTTATTGTGACCTCCCCAGGGGTCCCAACCCCAAGGTTGAGAAAGGCAGTGTTAAACCCTTGTGCTGGCAGGATTACTGCCTGACAGGTCAGTGGTTTGAATTTGGGGAGAAGAGGTTGAGCTCCTTCTGTCAGCTCCAGCTCCCCATGCGGCGACATGAGAGAAGCCTCCCACAAGGATGGTAAAACATCAAAATATCCAGGCATCCCCTGGACAACGTCCTTGCAGATGGCCAATTCTCTCACGCCAGAAGCAACTTGCACTTTCTCAAGTCACTCCTGACACACATACACAAACACAAATCTCCAGAATTAATGCAACTTTGCAGCATAGTTGCATTCATTTGGAGTTGCCTTGAAGGCTCAACAACAAGCCTTCCTCTCGATTTCTCTCCCCGAACCTTTTAAAGAAGAGCTCTGCCAGCTTCCCAGTTTTTTAGGGGGAAGGGGGAATCAGGGGAGGAAAAGGATGAGCTCACCCAGAGGCCAAACAATGTGGGATTTGCATCCCATTGTCTGCCTTTGTGTGGCCGTCACACTGGCCATGAAGCCTCCGCATGCCATTCCCTTGTTCAGGGCTGGGCAAACTGACTCTTGGCCCCTCTGTCTGCCCCCCTGTTTTGTCCTTGTGGGGAACTGTAATACCCGTGGGACACTGGGGAGAGGTGTCTCTCCCAGTAAGCTCAAACTGGGACACTTAATTATAGCCAAGTGAGGTGACAACATCATCATCATCCCCATCCCCACCATCATCATTATTGGGCAAACTTACAACCAAAAGTTTGTTCAGTAATTAATTTGGTTGTTGTTGTTTATTCCCTGTTGGCCGTGGCCACCCCCAGCTCCTTCCAGGTCAAGCCAGTCACTTCAAGGATATGATCCATCCATCTTGCCCTTGGTCGGCCCCTCTTCTTTTTTCCTTCCATCCCTGACAGCCGTGGCCACCCCTAGCTCCTTCCAGGTCAAGCCAGTTTCTTCAAGGATACCATCCATCCATCTTGCCCTTGGTCGGCCCCTCTTCTTTTTTCCTTCCATCCCTGTCAGCCGTAGCCACCCCCAGCTCCTTCAAGGTCAAGTCAAGTCACATCAAGGATACTATCCATCCATCTTGCCCTTGGTCGGCCTCTCTTCTTTTTTCCTTCCATCCCTCTCTGCCTCCCCTCAGTTCTTCAAGGCCAAGCCAGTCACTTCAAGGATACCATCCATCGATCTTGTCCTTTGTCAGCCTCTCTTCCTTCTTCCTTCCATCCCTGACAGCGGTGGCCATCCCCAGCTCCTTCAAGGTCAAGCCAGTCACTTCAAGGATACCATCCATCTATCTAGCCCTTGGTCGGCCCATCTTCCTTTTTCCTTCCATCCCTAAGACCCGTGGCTACCCCCAGCTCCTTCCAGGTCAAGCCAGTCACTTCAAGGATACCCTCCATCCATCTTGCCCTTGGTTGACCCCTCTTCCTTTTTCCTTCCATTCCTGTCGGCCTTGCAACCCCCAGCTCCTTCAAGGTCAGGTCAGTCACTTCAAGGATCCCATCCATCCATCTTGCCCTTGGTCGACCCCTCTTCCTTTTTCCTTCCATCCTTGTCAGCCTTTGCCACTCCCACCTCCTTCAAGGATACCCTCCTTCCATCTTGCCCTTGATCGACTCCTGTTCCTTTTTGACTTCCATTCCTGTTGGCCTTTGCCACCCCCAGCTCCTTCAAGGCCAAGTCAGTTACTTCAAAGATACCATCCATCCATCTTGCCCTTGGTTGGCCCCTCTTCTTTTTTCCTTCCATTTTCCATTCAGGCAGGAAGACACCATAAAAACCCTCCCGACAGATGGCCATGATCCTCTTCTGAGAAACCCCCAGAGAAGGAGCCTCCAATGGACTCCTATTTTTATAATAATTATGTTTATGTTAGTTTGTATCCCACTTTCCCTATCTAGGCAGTCTATATGACACTACAGATACACCCCCAGAGCCATCCAGTTCAATCTGTTGCTGTTGTTGTTGTTTATTTGTTCCGTTGCTTCCAACTCTTCATGACCTCATGGACCAGTCCAGGCCAGAGCTCCCTGTTGGCCATGGCCACCCCCAGCTCCATTAAGGTCAATCCAGTCACTTCAAGGATTCCATCCATCCATCTTGCCCTTGGTCGGCCCCTCTTCCTTTTTCCTTCCATTTTCCGCATCATCATTGTCTTCTCTAAGCTTTCCTTTCTTCTCATGATGTGGCCAGAGTACTTTATCTTGGCCTCTAATCTCCTTCCCTCCAATGAGCAGTTGGGCTTTATTTCCTAGAGTATGGACTGGTTTGATCTTGTGGTCCAAGGTGTTGGGAGCATGTAAAAATCAGTTGGTGAGTGTGTTAACTGAAAAATTCAAAGCACAAAATTGATTGGTTGGGCTATGCCCAAGAAGTTAGCTGAGCCTGGGAGTTTTGGCAACAGTTACATTGTTATGTTTTCTGTGCAGGAGCTTACCAAGACAGATTGCATTTTAGCTTCTGGGCTGCTGGAAGAAGATCTTTCACATGGACACCTAAGGACCATTCGAATCTCTCTCAAAGGACATTGTGTGAGTCATTGCTCTCCTCCCAAAATGCAAAGTCTGTCCCTGCCTCCATGTTTTCTCCCTCTATTGGCCAGTTATCAATCATTCTTGTTGCCATCATCTTGGTTTTCTTTATTATTAACTACAACCCAGGTTTTGCCCTTTCTTCTTTCACTTTGGTTAGGAAGCTCCTCAGCTTCTCCTCACTTTCGGCCATCAAGGTGGTATCATCTGCATATCTAAGTTTGTTAATGTTTCA